CACTTAGTCTGCTGAGCTGTCTCCCGGCCCTTGTTTTTGTTTTTAGTCTCAATTTCATTAATTTCCTATTCTATTCTGATCTTTATAATTTCCTTCCTTGTAGAAGTTTTGAATTTGAATTACTCTTGTGAGTCCATTTACATTGAGATATTAGTTAAAAGTGTTGACTTATTTCTGTCATTGCTTTATTTTCCTATTTATTTTTTCTCCGCTTCTGCTAATGTGTTTCTGCTTACCTGATGTATTCATTTCACTGGATGTATCCTTAGCTTATTGTTCCTTTAGTGGTTGTGACTTCGAGGGGTAGATACTGAGAATCAGACATAGGATTTCATGTTCCCAGGCAGGCACTGTGCCACTGAGCTAAATCACTGGCGCTGGTCATGATTTTTTAAGATGCTATTTATCGTGGAAAGATTATATCTATCCATAAATTTTGAAAGATAGTTTTGTAGGATATTATCAGTCTGAGTTGGAAGTTGTTTTCTTTTAGGACATAAAATACATTAGGTTCTTCTGTTCTTTAAGGTTTGTGTTGAGAAGTTTGCTATAATTCTAAAGAGTTTACCTTTACTTATTTATTTTTAATTTTATTTGCGTTTATTTTATGCTTATTTCTGTGCCGTAAGTTTTTGTTTCTTCAGTTTCTTCTGGGATATATTTTTCTTCTGTACATCTTCCTCCTCTGGTTTGGGAACAGTTTATTCCTTTTCTTTTTCTCATAGGATTTTTTTTTTTGTTTTTCTTTTTGCGAAACTGGGGCTTGAACTCAGGTCCTTGCGCTTGCCAGGGAAGCGCTTATTCCACTGAGCCATCTCCCCGGCCCAAGTTTGTTCCTTTTCAGTAAGGATCATCTCAGTATGGCAGGGGGAGCTCATGGATGGGTTAATCTGTCTAGGCACTCTATAAGTACGGCGGCGCATCTTGGGTGCTTTGTTCACCTGGATATGTTCAGTAACCAGAGAATCTACATCTAAGCTCTCAAGCTCAGCATTACTCTGCATTTTTTAGTATGTGCAGCAAAACTTCAGCACTCTTTTTGGGCCACCAACCCTGTGTTCAGCCACAGTGTTTGGCCTGGGCATACCTACCAACTCCACCACTGTAAGCACACTGCTTCTTTAAGGTGACATCCTTAGATACTTGGTGGCTTTTCGGATATGCATACTTTTGGTGTCCTGGGCAGTTTCACATGTGTTCTTAAAGTGAACGTGAAGATTTGAGTCTCTTGATTTGCATGATTTTGTGGGGTTTTCTGGGTCGAGAGAGTAGCGAACCATTTTCACAGATCACCTCAGGCCTCTCACAGGAAGAGCAAGAGTTTACCTTTAGGAGTGATTCATTGCTTTTACCTAACAGCTTTTAAGATTCATTTTTTTTCATTTTTAATTTTTTTTGCTGGGCATGGTGTTACATACCTGTAATTCATTCCAGCACTCAGAAGGCTGAGGCAGAAAGCTCAAGTTCAAGGCCACCTTGAGCTACATAGTGAATTCAAGGCTAGCCTGGGCTACAGAGCGAGACACTGTCTTAAAACACACACACACACACACACACACACACACGCACGTGCGCACACACACACACACACACACACACGGGGGAGGGGCTGGGGATTTAGCTCAAAAGTAGAATGTTTGCTTAGTAAGCTGGAAGCCCTGGGTTCAGTCCTCAGCACCAAAAACAAAAAAATTAACCTCAGCCGACAGACAGACAAAAAAGACAAAATACAGACGGAAAAAAAAAGACAACACACACACACAGAAAAAAAAAAAAAAAGGCCCCAGAAAAAGACCTCAGCAGCACAGTACCTGCCTTGCAAGTGCAAGGTCCTGAATTTGATTCCCAGTAACAATAACAACAAACAAAACAGAAACATTTTTATGTAGGACTTCTGGGGTTTTGATTACGATAAATTGTGGAAAAGAGCTTTTCTGAGCTTGACTGTTTAGACCTATATTCCTCACATATCTGTATGTTAATTTTTTTCCCATGCTTGGAAGGTTTTCTGCTGTGATTTCTATAAGCAAGCTTTTTATGCTGTTTGTACCATCTATTTGTACTATTTCTTACCAACTCTAGGTAATCTTAGAGTTGTCCGTAAGCTGTTGGACCTATTTTCCATGTTCTGTTGTTGCGTTTAGGTGTCTGAGTCACTGATATCAGCTGGTTATCCTCTAGGTCTGACACTCTGTCTTCACTTCTGCTGCCCATACTTTAAAAAGAATTTTGTGTCTCTTGGGTGTGTTTTGTGTGCTGTCATGAACTCTAATTCTTCACTATGTGGTTAGTCATGTTTTGTATTGTTTTCAGCTAGTTTTTTCTTTTTCTTATTAAAAATTTTTAAAATTTAATTATATTTATTTATTCATTGGATACAGGGTCTTGCTACACAGCTTGGACTCATGGTAATCCTCCTGTCTCGATTTCTCGAGTTCTGAGATTACAGGCATGCGCCACCACACCCGACTGGGGGTCAGGAATTGGCATGGGGCCAGCATAACATGTGGTACTGGGGGTTAAACACAGGTCCTTGCACTTACCAGGCAGGCACTTTGACCATTGAACTATCTCCCTAGCCCCTCTTTCCCATTTTTGAAACGGGGGTTCTCTATGTAATTCACTCTGGTTTTGATTTCTCACTATGTAGCTCAGTCTGGTCTTGAACATATCTCCCCAATCTCAAAGTTTTTATCCTCCTTTCTCAACCTCCTGAGTGCTAGGATTACAGGCATGTCCCACTACATCCAGCTCAGATAGCTTTCTATTAATGTTCTGTAAGCTCAGGGATTATTGTATTTATTAAGTCTGTTTGTTAATACATACAATCTTTGAATTTTCTGCACACCTTGTGATTTGTTTTTGTGTGTGTGTATGTGTGTTTTATCATTTTGTATAATTCAGCTGTTTAGCTTGATTTCTTCCCATTGATGCCCCATGGATCAGCTTTGGGGTAGCAGGATGTTTTGGGAGGCATTGTGCTGCCTTGTCTGTGTAAGTGTGTGCATGTGAGTGTGCGCCTTTCGAGTTGTTGATTGATTATAGTGGAATGGCTTTGTTGCTAGCATAGAGATCTCTTTAGTTAGTGTGTACTTTCAGTGATTTTCTCGGGGCATGGCTAACCCTAGGCCTTTGCCTGTGTCCCAAGGTCTGACTGCCCCCAGTTTGGGAGGAGAGGGCATAGTGTAACTGACTTAACACCCAGTTCTCTGAAAATGAAGGGCAGTTTTTGATGTGTAATAGATACGCCTGTCCTTATTTGGGGCATCTTGATAGCTCCCTCCTCAACATAAATCCAGAATCCACATATCAGCCTGATGTGAGCCACTATCAGTGTGTATGCTGCCCAAGCAAGCACGTGAGCCACCGTCTTGACTACTCTCTAGTTTCTCTGACTCCCAGATCCTACATTAGCCTCCTATGTGGTCTCCTTCTACCCTGTAAAACACAGCAAGTAGAGATTTTTTGTTTTTGTTTTTTAAATCTCAGGTAAACATAAACTACTTCCCTATTTTAATGGCTCTTACATCAATAAATGAAACTCACATACTGGGCGTGGTGGTGCATGCCTGAATTCCAGCTCTTGGGAAGCTGAGGCAGGAGGATCACTGTGGGTTCAAGGCCAGCCTGAACGACGTAGTGCAACCCTGTTGCAAAACCACAAAAAGCCCCCAAACTCCCCAATCTCAAAGTTTTGAGGATCTCTGTGTTCTGGCACATGTCACCTCTCTGTCCTCATCTTTTGCCACTGGGCCCTTGATCCCACTGTTCTGGCCACACTGGCCTTGTTTTTGGCACACACCTGCTTAAGGCCTTCTTAGTGACCTCCGGGCCTCTTCTAAGTCTTTCCTCAAATGCTTTTCATCTTCTCAACAGTACTGACCATGACCTTCCAGGTATAGTTGCAAGAGCTTCCCATGTAACCAGAGGCCACTCCCAGTCCCTTCATACTGCCCTGTTTTTGTTCTAAACAGACTACTTTTTAATGTACTACATTATCATTTGTCCCTTACTCCTTGGAGCTATTTACATATTTCTCCACAGTTGAAGCTCCCATGGGGGCAGAGGCTTTTTTCCTTTTTTTATTAACTGATGGACTCCAGAGCCCTAAAATAGTGTTTGACACATAGTGGCTACTGAGTATTTGCTTTATCCGTGCATGAATTATGAGTAAGAGAATTTATGTAAACATTTCCTATGAATTTCAGAGAAATAATAATAAAAAGGTAAGAGAAATTTAGTAAGTACAAATTTCAAATTACAGCTTCTTCTTATATTGCAAGTTCCAGATGTGTTTTCCTTTTCTAAATTTTCAGCTTCAGTTGTGGAGGGTCAAAAGGGTATCATTCCTCGAGCAATCCAAGAAATATTTCAAAGAATCTCTGAAAATCCTAGCAGTGACTTTAATATAAAAGTATCCTATATAGAAGTATACAAGGAAGACCTCAGAGATCTTCTAGAATTGGAGACCTCCATGAAGGATCTGCACATTCGAGAAGATGAGAAAGGAAACACAGGTGAAGTAGCCTACCTAACTGATCACTTTATAAAACAGACATTCCTCATTCTTGGTTTCTGGTTCTGTTCTGGAATTTTTAAAAACAAACAAATAATTGGGCTTGGTGTCACAAACCTATAATCACAGTACTTAGGAGGCTGAGGCAGGAGTATATGAGACTTCTCAGATAACCAAAATAAGTTAAAAAAAAACAAACAGAGGGTTTTACTTCTCAGATAACCAAAATAAGTTAAAAAAAAAAACAAACAGAGGGTTTTTTTTGTTTTTTTTTTTTGGCTGCTCCAGATTGCCTCCAGCGCTGGTCTGGGTTGCCTTGAGTATCTGGGAATCGAATCACTGCTCCCAGAGACTGACTGCTTCATTTAGAAGCAGGCACTTAAACAACTGAGCTAATGGGCGGGCCCCCCAAAAAACAAACAGACAAAGGAACAAAATGAATTTGTTTGTACTTATTTATTTATTTATTGGTGGAACCGGGGATTGAACTCAGACCCTTGCGCTTGCCAGGGAAGCGCTTATCCCACTGTACCATCTCCCTAGCCCCTACTTATTATTTTTAGTTTATTATTCTTTTGTCATTCTGGGGATCCAATTCAAGGCCTAATCTACACGAAGCAAGCACTCTGCCACTGAGCTATACTGCTAGTGCCTTGTCGTTGTCATTTAGCTTGTCATCAGTCTTACTTAAATTACTGAGTTCTGCAGACTGCTTGGTAAAGTGAAATTATTAGTTTGTAATTGAAGATACTGATTTTTTCAAGATAACTGATTTTCTATAATAGTCTGGTCTGATATCAAGTGAAACTGAGAGATCACTTTTGTTTATTTATCGTGCTACTTGGAATTTAACCCCGAGACTTTCTCCTGAGCTACATCACCATTTTTTTTTCTTCCATATTTTGAGTCTTGGTCTCACTGTGTAGTTCACATTGGCCTTGAACTCACTGCGTAGCACAAGCTGGCCTTGAACTCACGGTGATCCACCTGCCTCAGCCTTGGATAACAGGCTTGTACCACCATGCCTGTATCTTATTTTTTATTTTGATATGCACTCAAATTGCTGGGTTGCCTGGGGAAGGTTTAAACTTGTGATTGTTTTGTCTCAGCCCCTCAGACTGCTGGGATTACAGGTGTGTGCCACTGTGTCCAGCTTTATATATGTATGTATGTATGTACATATGTATATTTTTTTCACTCAGAGCTACCATGAGATTAGGGAAAGCTTTTTCCTTTAGGTGTTCATACAGTTGATCCAGAATTCTTTTAGATTTTTGTCTTACTGCATCTGTTTCTTTGACCTTTTTTTGTTGTTTATGTTTTTACTACTCTGTATTGACATCCTTCCTTATGCTTCTCAAAGTCTGACTTTCTATGCTAGTAAACTATTCCTCTCATTCATTAATACAGGGCTGGGGAGATAGCTCAGCAGAATAAGTGCTTGCCTGGCAAGCACAAGGGCCTGAGTTCAATCCCTGGTTCCGAAAAAAAAAAAAAAATTCATTAATACACATATGGTTGGAAATGGGAGATTAAATAGGGTTAAAATGCAAGATTTTATTTATTTTTATTTTTTATTTTATTACTATTTTAAAAATTTATTTATTTTATTTATTTGTGTGTGTGTGTGTGTGTGTGTGTGTGCGCGCGTGACCAGCTCAGTCCACCAGGGGGCGGGGCTGGCTAGCATGTGGTGCTGGGGGATTGAACAGCGGTCCCTGTGCTTTGCTAAGCTTGTTCTAAGTAGGTGCTTTAGACCACTGAGCCATCTCACCAGCCCTTTATTTTTATTTTTTAAGGAATAGAAGAATAGAAAAAGAAAGTATTAGAAATGATACAAAATTTCATTAAATTAAGTAATAATTCTAAAATGGTTTCTGTATTGCATGATATTATCTTTAAATTAGTTGTTTAAGTTACCAGATATCAACCTGCAAAATTGGTTTAAAGAACCAAACCAAACAAGAACAAAAAAGTTATAAGAAATTAAAAAGAAAAAGGAATAGAAATTTAAAAAAATAAGCGTTAACTGCTTCTTTCAAGAGACCAGCAGAAATCAGCAGTGCAGTTATCCAAACTATCCTGCATATATACATAAATGTATCTTTTTTTCCGTCTTTCTTTGTCCTTTTTTTTTTTTTAATTTATTTGTGTGTGTGTGTGTGTGTGTGTGTGTGGCCAGCTCAGCCCACCAGGGGGCAGGGCTGGCTGGCATGTGGTGCTGGGGGATTGAACTGCGGTCCCTGTGTTTTGCTAAGCTTGTTCTAAGTAGGTGCTTTAGACCACTGAGCCATCTCACCAGCCCCTCTTTGTCCTTTTCTTCATCCAAGTTTTTCCTTCCTGTTGAACAGATTCTTTCCTTTTCACAGGGATTTAAAAAAATAACAATTTATTGTTTGTCATAGAACGTTTTGTAAGCAAAGAAGCTAGGGAGAAAGTTAAATATTCTTTGATCCTAGAACCTAGAAATACTTCTGTGTGGTCCTGAGCCTCTACCCCTGCTGTGCTGAGGCTGAGACCCCGAGCCTTGGGCATGCTCGGCAAGCAGGTTCCCACGGGGCTACAGCCTGAGCCTGAAGTTTCTCTTTGGCATGTTTCCCTCCAAATTTATTTGTGTATGTACATAATTTTTTAAAAAAATATGTATTTGCATCCCCACATACAGTTTGGCACTTATTTTTCACTTAACATGTATATTGTGAGCATTTTTGCATACCATTATTTTTAATATTTTTACTGTTCTATGGTGACTTCTCTTATGAATGTGTCTCAATAATGTAGCCAATATCCCATTGTTCCTCATGTAGGCCATTTCTAGGTTCTGAATATTATTAATAAATTGCAAGATTGTTGTTGACCGTCTTTCTCTCCTGGAAGACACATTTGATATTAATGTGATATTAATGCACTTGTAATCAATCCCAAGTGCTAGGATTCCAGACCTGTGCTACCACACTTGGCACCAAACCTTGCATTCTTATACTTCCCCTGGAAGCCCTGGTATTCCCATAAGTTTGAAGAAATTGTTTTCTGTTTTGTTTTTTAGAAAGAAAGTGAACATGGTAGTGTATGGTCTCTTTATGTAATTCAGTACTGTTTATCTCTTCTGGGCAGAATTCAGACTGACGTTCTAACCTTTTTATCATACGTAATGTAATTATTGAATGTTTTTACCTTTTATCTGAAATAATGTATGCTGATTGTAAAACATTAAACAACACAGAAGTGTACACTATTCCTAATAAACTTGATGATCAAAATATTCCAAAACTAATATCAATCCTGCAGAAATCTTGGACAGACATAAATTGCCTGAGGATAAATTCCTGTGTATCTCATATAGTGTTCCTTTCAACCAAAATGCACTGGTTTGACAAATTTCTTAAGTACTTCTCTGAAGCAATAATGTCTACTTTAAAAAAAAATCCCCACTTTTTGGAGATTCTGATTTAATTGGCCTAGCATGGGACCTAAGTATTGATATTATTGTTTTTTCTTTTCTTTTTTTAAATGAAACTAGGTGACTCATAAATGGAATAGTGAAAGTTAAATTGTGTTTTATGGTTAAGTGCCATGGTATATAAATCCTTATATTTTAGTACTGCCTGTTTGTGCCATAAGTTCTTTAGAACTTGAACTAGGTTGTTAAAAAGTGTCATGATGGAAATACACTGGTACTTTGGTTCAGGCATGCTTGTTTGCACACTATTTGGTTCACAAACAAAAACATTTGGCAGAGTTTTTTGTTTCGCAGTCTACAATGGGTGACACACAGGGCCACAGCTATCTTTCCCATACAAATACACAAATGTGGCCATCTTTTTGAAAATTGTGAAACAAATTAAATTTCTCAACTGAGGTAAGTGAAGTGGTCATTTTTTCAGAGGAACAGTGACCTGGTGAGTTATGATATGGGTCCCCGAAGACACTATAATTCAAGCAAGGAATCAGGAGCTTTATTCCTCTGGCTGAAATCCCAAATATACCTGTTTTTTTCCTTAAAAAAATCTTTCGATATGATTAATGCATCTAGTAAGCCTAAGTTATGTTTGAATTGCTTACTCTTCCATTGAAGTAGAAAGTGTTTTGCTGTTTTAAAATTGCCTTCTCAGGGCTGGGGAGATAGCTCAGTAGAATAAGGGCTTGGGAAAAAAAAAAAAAAAAAAAAAAAAAAAAAAGATTGCCTTCTCTGTTATCTTATATACTCTGATAGTATACAATGTATCTGTTTTTAAATGAATGACTTTGCCAGGCTTGATGGCTTATGCCTGTAATCCCAGCACATGGGAGGCTGAGGCAGGAAATTGCCATGAATTTGAGCCCAGACTGAACTACGTAGTGAGAGCACATTTCCCAAAAACCTGCCTATTTTATTTATATTGAAATCTTTATTTAAACATTGATTATGCCTTTACAATACAAAAAAACCCTAAGCCAAACATGGCTTGAATATTAACAAAATTGAAAAGAAACTAATTTGATGAATTTACTACTGACTAACTTCTGATTTATATATTTAGTTAATATAGTTTAAATTAATTTACAAGTCAAAATATTGAAACAGTGAGGGGTTAGTTTATTTGCTTTTGGTGCTTGAGGATTGAAATAGCACATGCTTACCTTCATAGCACGTGCTGTACCTTCAGCACAAGAGTTTTTCTTTAGTCATTTTATTTTATTTTTTTAACGGGATATTTTCTTTTTTAATTTAATTTAATTTAATTTTATTTTGAAAGGTAAAAGCAAAGCAAGAACAAAATTCAGAAACAAAGAAACAGGGCATGTTACAGATTTTCAAACAAGAATAATTAACAATGGTCGATATGTTATCTATTTTATCCTCAAATCTGTTGCTCACATTAACAGATATAGTTATGTAAGATTGGACATATAGTTGCATATTACTCCTTGCTTTCAAGGAACCTTAAATTTTTATTCTTGGCTCTTTTTTAGTTGTTTAAAATAGTTTGTTTTATTTATTTTTTAATTTTTTATTAATTTTAATGTGAAAGAAATAGCAATGAAAGTTTCAAAACAGGTTAGTAGGACAGTTACAATAATATATACATTGCATATTGTTGTCTTTGTTTTTTTTTTTCGGAACCAGGTATTGAACTCAGGCCCTTGTGCTTGCCAGGCAAGTGCTTATTCTACTGAGCTATTTCCCCAGGCCCTTGTAGTAGTTATTCAGAGTACAAGATGCAGACGTGATATCTTGTCTAAGCAATCTTAGTATATATCTTCTCATTGAACTAAGAGAAAGTAGCTGTATATCTATCCTATTTTGTATATGCATATAAAACAAAACACAAAAAGGGGAATATAGGGCCAGGGAGATGGCTCAGTAGAATAAGCACTTGCCTGGCAAGCGCAAGGGTCTGAATTCAATCCCCGGTTCCACCAAAACAACAACAACAACAACAAAAGGGGGGGGTGATATAAATGAAGGACCATTTTGTAGTTAGTCATTTTAAATAATAAAGTGTGGTGGGCAGGAGAGATAGCTCAGTGGCATAAATGCCTGCCTGCCAAGCTCAAGTTCTTTGATCCCTGGTACAAAAACAAAACAAACAAAAAACCCCTAATAAAATGTGGTATCTGACTCTAGAGAAACCAAATCTTTTTTTAAAAAAGAATATCTTTTAAACACCAAAATGAGTGCAGGCCAGGGGTTCAATCTCACCACGCCCAGTCTCAGTTGCTGTCTCAGCGTGCCCTGGTGGTGGGGCCAGCACATCAGGCCCGGGGATCAAAACCCGGCCCCGAAACCCGGCCCCTGCACTTGCTTGCAGGTGCTTTAATCTGCTGAGCTATTTGACCAGCCCTGAAATGATTCTTTTCAGATATTTTCTAAAGCTAACAGTGTTGCTGATGGTACTGTTTGCAGTGCTGTTGATTGTGTTTACAGGATTGTACTGGGCTCTTAAGCAAATACTAACTGGTGTGTAGTTTATTTGCTATACTGGATTTGATGTGAACCTGGTTTTAAACTTGCTGTTGCTGTTTTAAGTGATTGTTGGGGCCAAGGAATGCCACGTGGAGAGTGTGGATGAAGTGATGAGTCTTCTGGAGATGGGGAACGCGGCTCGACACACAGGGACCACCCAGATGAATGAGCACTCCAGCAGATCGCATGTGATTTTCACCATCAGCATCTGTCAAGTGGAGAGAAATCTGGAGGCGGGTGAAGATGGATCATGGTACACGCATCGGCGAATTGTCTCCAAGTTTCACTTTGTGGATTTGGCTGGATCCGAAAGAGTAACCAAAACAGGAAATACTGGTGAACGATTCAAAGAATCCATTCAAATCAACAGTGGGTTGTTGGCTTTAGGAAATGTGATAAGCGCCCTCGGGGACCCGCGCAGGAAGAGTTCACATATTCCATACAGGGATGCTAAAATTACCCGGCTGCTGAAAGATTCCCTGGGAGGCAGCGCCAAGACTGTCATGATCACATGTGTCAGCCCTTCCTCCTCAGAGTTTGATGAGTCTTTAAATTCTCTCAAATATGCCAATAGAGCCCGGAACATTAGAAACAAGCCCACTTTGAACTTTAGCCCTGAGTCAGACCGTATGGATGAGATGGAATTTGAAATTAAGTTGCTTCGAGAAGCTTTGCAAAGCCAGCAGACTAGTATCAGTCAAACTAGTCAGATACCTCAGGAGGGCACACTTGATAAAAACAGGATCCAGTCTCTGGAAGAGCAAGTAGCTCAGCTACAAGGGGAATGTCTGGGTTACCAAAATTGTATAGAGGAAGCCTTTACCTTCCTGGCAGACTTAAAAAATGCTGTCAGATTAAACCACCAGCAGCAGCACAAACTGCAGGAGTGGTTTAACATGACTCAGGAGGTCAGGAAGGCTGCCATCACCTCACTGCGAGGAAGCCAAGGCATTGGAAACCAAGAAGAAGGACCCCAGCATAGCACAGTTCTCCAGCTCAAGAGAGAGCTTAAGAAATACCAGGTACATAGACATTACTTTTATGAGTAATTTATTCAGAGATGACATTTGTAAATTCTAGGTCATATTAGAACATGAGAATTTTTTAAAAAGATTGTATGTTAAATCTTACTTGCCTTTCTCTGATCTCTCTCTCTCTCTCTCTCTCTCTCTCTCTCTCTGTCTGTCTGTCTCTGTCTCTCTCTGTATTTGGTATAGGGTCTCACTATGTACCCAGACTTGTGATCCTCCTGTTTTCAGCCTCTCCAGCACTGGCCACTGCTAAGCACGCCCGGAGGTGGGGGCGGTACAGCATGTGGTGCTGGGAATCAAACCCTGGTCCCTGAGCTTGCCTAAGCAGGTGTTTAGTCCGCTGAGCTATCTCACCAGTCCCTTTCTGTCCCATTTGATTAAAGTGCATTTTAATGTCTTCTATTTATTAACTGAAACTTTAGGGGCCTTTCTATCAATTTAAAGGATAAAAAGGAACACATTTTTAGAAGCAAAATCATGTTTTCTTGAGTTTTTCTCCCATGGTGGGTCTGTGGTTCCTTTTTCTTCCTGTGACTGTGGCTTGAGCCCAAGGAGGGCCTTGCACATGCAAGGTAAGCCTAGTGCTGAGTTACATTCTGGCCCTTTTATTTCATCATTTGAGACAGGGACTCATAATGTCTGCCTGGAAAGCACAAGGTCCTGGATATGTTTCCTGAATTCCCACCACCTTCATCCCCCCACCTTCAAAAATAGAAACAGGGACTAAGTTTCTTAGGCTGTCTCAGATTTGCAGTCCTCCTGTCTCAGTCTCCTGAGTGGCTAGGGTTAGGCACGAGCTACTGTACCATTGTATTTTAAAGAAAAACAATACTTACTCCCTTGAGTTTAAAGTATAGATTTTTTAAAAATACAAATCAATTTACTTGTTAATATTTGGGGTGGTGTAGGTATGTTCATGGAGGCATATTATAGATGTATGTATTGAGTTAAGAATTATATTTTTCAGTTACTGTTCAAGAAAACATTTGTTGTATAAGATTGTGTGACAAGAGAGAACAGATTTACCCCTCATTTGTTTCATTCCATGAGCACATGGGTCGGCATGGTGAAAAAGGCAAATATTGTCTTAGTATTATGAAAATATTTTTTGAACTTAAGGCTGCCCTCAGTGGGGTCAAGGAATACCCTGGAAGGATTCATCATAAGAGCTGCTGCAGTGTTACAAAGCCTTTACTATTTAAATGTATATTAAATATTTAGAATATTTAAAGTGTTTTTAACATAGTGGTTTCTTTTTCTTTCTTTTTGAAGAGTAGTAACTGCCCTACATGTTTCCTGCACAGAGCAAGTAGACCTTTTCTCATTAGTGTAAGAAATCACTAGAACAGAACAAGCAGATAGTGGGAAGCCTGGACTTCAGGACACCTGCAGGCCCTGGTGGTAGGAGCTGTTCTTCCTTCACGCTTCTTGGGGGCTGAAATTGGAGGCCCGTAGAAACCATTTTTTGAGAGGGGAAAGACAGTAACTTCCTCTCCATCTGCTGGAAACTAAAATTTACATTTGCTCCGGATTAGGACTTTGTAAAGATATTAATAGTCTTGCTGAAAAAAGGTTATCATGATAAGATTATTTTGGAACATACTAAATTCCCAGAACTTTGGGAGTGCTATTAAGTAAATCTTTTTTTAAATTAATTTTATTGAGAAACAAATAGCAATGGGACAGTTTCAAAACCGATTAGTAGCACAGTTTCAATAATTAATACATCGCATACTGTTGTCTTCATAGTGGTTATTCATAGTACAAGATGCAGACATGATACCCTGTCTAATCACTATTAGTACAAATCTTCTCATTGAATTAAGAGACAGTAGCTGTATATCTGTCCTATTTTGTATATACAAAATGGTCCTTCATTTTTATCCCCTTTTTTGTTTAGTTTTGTCAGAGAAGGGTATTCTATTGCCATTTAAATATTGTAGGTGCATGAATTCAGCAGAATAATCCATATTTTGCTGAGCTGTAGTAAGTAAATCTTACAGTGAGAGACAGTAGTAAGTATGGCCCAGCTTTTAGAAGTGAACCTCCTTCCTCATCCTCTTTCTTCTTCTTCTTCCTCTTCTTTTTTAGTATGAGAACTTGCAGGGGTAGTAATCTTGGGTTCTACTGGGTAGCAGATGGAGAAATGACTGATAAAATTCCTTACGTCATATATCTCTTTAAACAAAAAAAAATTTTTTTTAAATACTTTCTTTTCTTTGATAGCCTGGAAAACAGGCACATGGATACCAAACTCCCTAGACTTGAATCCTGCCTTCTCTGCTTATGACCTCAGTCTGTGGCCCACACCATATGTTTGACCATTCTGTACTTCACTTTCACCATCTGTAAAGCAGAAACAATATTACCTACCTTTGGCTCTTGTCATGAAGATCAAAGGCTGGGCATAGTAGTGCATGTCTGTAATCCCACCTAGGAGGCCGAGGCAGGAGGAACTCTGAATTTGAGGGCAACATGGGTTACGTAGTGAGACTGCCTCAAAAGCCACTGTGGATCCAGGGAAATAAGTACCTGCCTGCAGCCAATAGCTTAAGTGCCTCCCTGGCAAGGGTAAGATCCTGAGTTCAATCCCCAGTACAAAAAAAAAAAAAAAAAAAAGACATTGTGTTCTTCTGTGCTGGTCTACCCTCACGCATCAGGGTATATGTCTTTTCTTAATTTTACTTGGCTCAAACTTGCTCTGTAGAACCTGTTTCTTTTTCTACCTTTTATAAAAGTTTGCTACTTTTTTTTTACGCTACATTTTTTTTCTTTTTCTTTTTGCATTTTAGTAAGGGTTTACAGGATCTATAGGGTATCACTATGTAGACCAGACTCATAGTGATCCACCTGTGTTCAGCCTCGCAAGAGCTGGGATTACAGGCATGTGCCACCATGCCCAGTCTCAGTTACAGTCTCACCATGCCCCAGGGACAGGGCCAGCACAGCACACCAGGGATCAAACCCCAGAAGCTGCGCTCTGTCTAAGCAGGCACTTTAATCTGCTGAGCAATTTGGCCAGCCCTTGCTACTGTTAAACAAATAAACATTAAAGCCTTAGCTCCCATAAAGCAGTGAGAAGGATGCCTAGCTAGTAGAAGACTCAGAAAATGCTAGATTGTTATTACCTCTTCCCTCCCTGGGCCTTGAATACACATCAAGCTACGGCTTTGGACTTAATAGTCATAGCTAGGGTTACCAAGAACCAGCTCAGTACATTTGACTGCCTAGGGAAATTGTTAGGCAAGGTTGTGGGGCTAGTTTAGAGAAGGAGAAGCAGGAATAGTATCTTTTCTTAGCCCTGTTTGAGTCTCTTTGGAAAGAAGGTAAGTACTTAATTTAAAAACTCCTGGCCAGGATAAGATTGGAAGCTATTTCACAGACAGCCAGATTATTGCTGGGAAGTTAACGTCATCTTGAACTTAACCATTTTATCCTTTTTTAAAAGCTGCCAGATTGTTACTGGGTAGGTCCTTCTGAAAGTGGCTCTCCGAGTAAACTTCACTGGGTTTTGGGTTGCTCGCCTCTCCTTCTGGAGGTTCTTCTCATCTCAAAGAATTGAGCAAAATGAACACAGAACAGTAGTAGAATTTATTTGAAAAAGTAAAAGTGAAACATGAGGGAGAAACTGACCTTGCAAAGCAAGCTTAAACTAAATCAAAGAGGAAGAGGCAATGTAAGAGTATACCCTGAAGGACACAGGGTGGGCTTTCATGAGGAAAGCCATAATAGCGAGCTCATATAATGAGCCATAATAATGACCATTAAGCATCTGTGTTCTCTTATGATGTTGGAATCTTGAGGAAACCTTTCAAAACTTCTGTATACAGGTCTTTAGAGGTGGTTGGGATTCCATCCCTCAGGCTGATGTGAGGTCTAGGCCATCCTATTGTAAACCTGCTTGGATTCTGAGAAGTCCATGCTCAGGGCATTGGGAAGTGTTCTCATATATTCGGAGATCTTGTAATCATAAGGTCACACCTACTTCCCCAGCCAGCTTCACCAGACCCTAATCGCCTATCTCTTTTCCCCCTGAGATTCAAGTCCCCATAATTCTTTATGGGGTACTAAGGCAGTTGAGGTCTCTGTCTTCTGCAGCTTCTTCAAGCTAGAAGGGGCTGTAGACTCTACCTGCTGGGGTTATATGCTGTCCAACTACTTTGGAGTCCTGTGGTTCACTGGATGGGTGAAGAAAGAATACCTGTCAGGAAACAAAAAGAGTTAATGACCATTGAGCTGTGTGTTTGACAGTAGAAAGAAACTTCACTATAAGCCCAGATATGAGGAACAGGTCAGAGTTTCATGTTTCATGTAGCAGCATTGGAATCTTGCTTGTTGAAGAGAAATCTCACATCTTCTAGAGGTTCACAGGAGTAGCTTTCTCTTTTTGGGTTTTCATGTTCTTCACACAGTTCAGGTGGGATTGGCTTTATTCTAAAATGATGAACCCAATAATCTATCTCTGCCACCTTTACTGCAGTGGTTGTTGTAAGGATCACTGAAAAGAAAGGAACCCTTCCATTTTGGCTTTAATTGGGCAGCAAAAGTCCTTTCTCCTTACATTTTTATGAACACTCGTTCTGCAGGATGGACCGTATGTGGTCCTCTGGGCCAGGTGTTAGTAGGAAACTGTTCTCATACAATTGGATGGCCTGTAGTATTTGTCTTAGATTAATGAGACACTGTAATAGTCTTGTGCTCTCTGGGTCTACTAGCAAATCAAAAGATAGAAATAGCCTTCATATAACATCTCCAATGACTCAAATATAACCCAGTTTTTGTCATGTTACCTAACCTGATGAGCACTGTTGGCAGCAGTTGGAGCCAGGACTCGGATGTCTTTTGGCAAAATTTTGCCAGAGCTTGCTTTAGGTTGTCTTTGGCTCTTTTTACCTTTCCAGAGATGAAGGCTGCCAAATTGGATGGAAGCAGTACTTTATTCCTAAAGCCTTTACCAACCCTCAAGTTTTTTTTGAGAGGTCGAAGTCTGT